GGAGATGTCCTACTGTTGGATTCCTGGTTGTTTCTTCTCTGCCACTGAATATACAAAATAATAAGGTTAACAAACAACTGCATCATTGAATGAATCATTCTAAATAAACATTATTTGCTTGATCTTTGCATCATAGTCAGCTTTAATGTAAAATTGGTTTAAACAATGGCTCATTTTGTGATAGATGCTGACACCTACTGGCCAAACTTTATATTAAATGCCTGATACATTTTGGAGCATAAAATAATGCAAGTGTCCAAAATTACTGGAAAGTGAAGTCGAGTCCAGAGGAACAAAGGTGGGAGAAATCCTGGCTCTGGGAGGTGAGAGCACAGACACTGGGAAATGGAGATCCAAGGTTAAGAAAAGAACTAAAGTGAATAAACATAGTGTCTGCAATGCCATCAGTTGATCCCAGAACTCCTGCTGCACCTGCTATGAGCCCTTTCCTTCCTTGGAGTTTCTCATTCTGCCTTCTCAAACATTTTTCTCAGCTGCACATGTCCATTTTGAAAGTAAGCTGGAAATGAATAAAGAACTAAAGTGAATAAACATGGAGTCTGCAATGCCATCAGTTGATCCCAGAACTCCTGCTGCACCTGCTATGAGCCCTTTCCTTCCTTGGAGTTTCTCATTCTGCCTTCTCAAACATTTTTCTCAGCTGCACATGTCCATTTTGAAAGTAAGCTTTGGAAATGAACCATTCCCCAAACCACCTCAAACAAATGAGCACCTTCAGCCTTTTCTGGGCATTCTTTTTTATTTTTTATTTTTTTTTGGTACCAGGGATTGAATTCTGGTCCTTGTACTTGCAAGGCAGGCCACCAAACCACTGAGCTAAGTCCCCAGCCCCTTCGGGCATTCTTTATGCTTGATCACCATAATTACTATCCCTGGCTTTTTCTTTCTTTTGAGTGCTTACTCTGTTCTGTGCTTAGTGCTTTATACATGGACAAAGCTAGAGTCAGATTAGTTAGATATAAACACCACTTCTGCCATTGAAAAGTTCTATAACTTTGGTTAACTGACTTAAGCTCTCTCATCCCTTGTCTCTGAAATGGAGATGCCAGTGGTGTCTTCCACACAGAATATTAGAGAAGTTATAAAGACTCATATATGTAAAGTGCTTCCTGGGGACTTAGCTCAGTGGTGCCACTGCCTTCCTTGCAAATGCAAGGTCCCAAGTTTGATCCCTGGTACCAAACAAACAAATGTAAAGTGCTCAAAACAGTGCCTGTCCTGGCCATGGTGACGCACACCTGAGATCCTAGGAATCAGGAGGCTGAGACAGAAAGATGCTGGAAGAACAAGTTCAGCCTAAACTACATAGAGAGAAGTTGTCTCAAAAAACAAACTAACAAACAAATAAGAAAACAATGCCTACTGCATCCTAAGTCCTAAACAAATTTTATAATATTACCTTATTTCATATCTTTACATTGACACTCTGAAATAGTTGCTTTTAAAGCTAGAAAATATGCTGAGTGTGAGCTGCCTGTCTGTAGCAATACTGTATGAGCCTGTGTGATTATCTGTAAGGATTCTAGAGGAAGGAAGAAGCTGAATTAGAAGATAGTCCTACCTCCACCCCCAAGCTCCTTTCTAACTCACTTATTCTTTGATCCCATGAAAATGAAACTTCGACTAAAGAATATGAAATGTGTTAATTAAAAACACACTGGCTGGGGGCAGGAGATTTAGCTCAGCGGTTCAGTGGCCTACCTTGCAAGAGCAAGGACCTGAGTTTAATCCCCAGTACCCAAAAACAAAAACAAAAACAAACCAAAACAAAAAAATAACCACATTGGCTGGGCTGGGAATGTGGCACCGCACCTGCCTGGCAAGTGTAAGGTCCTGAGTTCAATCCCTGTACTGAGGGGAAAAAAAATTCACATTGGTTGTAGTAGTTTAGCCAGTCTATCTATGCATGAATTACTTACTGATAGTTGAAATCAGGTTTGAGCATAAGAACCTAGTCTTTCCATTAAGGCAAGTGTCCCACAAAGGCAGGAATGATTAGAAAGGGTGGCAGTGAGAATGGGCAGTGTTCTCTGTCGCAAATATTACAAATGGACAGCCTGCAACCCAGACTCAGCTCAGAGTCCTTTTGTTCAACCTGCATAAAGTATTTTTAAATGTGATTAGCTAGCAGATTTAAAATTTTGATGTCTGATTTCTCTTGAAAAAGCTAGCCACTTCCAAAACATGGTGGAGTGGTAGGCAACAACCATTCAGCCTCTCTTAGTTGGAGTACAGAAACTGGGAAATAACAACTCGTGGAAATTAAAAATGAAAAAGAGGGAAGTAGATCCCAGGGAACCAGGAAGGATCTGACAGCAAATTAAACCCTACAGAGAAAATGAATAGATGAAACACAGTGCAGAAAAGGAAGGGACAATCTGTACTTTTTCCTGGTTCCCAGCTCATGGCTTCTAACAAAGTAAGGTGGAATCTACGAGATAAAGTGAAAGTGAGGGCTTTCAGGGGACTTGGAGAGAAACTCAGTGATGGAACAGATCAGTGTATGCTGTGAGTGGTAACAGTTAATGAGTGACTCCAGCCCAAAAACTGACCATACTCCCTGGAGAGAGTGCTTGGTCAGATGACATTTTAGGGAGGTGTTGACTATTTGAACCCAGGACTCAGAGCAGCAGCAAGATGGCTTCAATTCAGGACTATCGATGTTATATTCCCACAGTAACTGTGTGAGGGACAGCCACAGGAGACAGCTATGGTGAGGGAGCTGTAGTCAAGCAGCCAAGAGACTCACTGGGGTTTTAAGTTAAAGCACACAGACCTGATCCCCATGGCCAGAAGCCAGGCTCAGCCTGAACTTCTCTGTATTTCA